TATATATATATATACACACACACACACACACACACACACACACACACATATATACATACATATATATACATACACACACACACACACACACACACAGAGGCAGAGCATGGCTCTCTTGGAGAATTATACAAGGAAATTACCCTTCTCTAGTAGTACCATAGACTCCCTTCTCTTGGAGGAATTCACATCCACATGGAAGGGATTCCAGCTGATCTAGCTATTATGGTTTTTCAGTTCACAATTTGATCTCCTTTGGCCTAGGAAAAGCCTGGCTAGATTTGAAACATTCAATAGGATGTGTTCAAAACCCCTACTTGGTAATCATGGGTCTGTTTGGGAGACTGTTCTCGTGCAAAATATAGCCAACATCCTTTGTCCATCTTGAAGAAGAGCCCTTAGCCTTTGCCTGAAACAATATTTTGCTTCCCTTATAGAAAATTTCAAACTGTTCCAGGCTAAGAATGACCCTGCCCTAGTCCTCTCAAGGAAATTGAAAGAGTTTCACATGTCTTCTCGCAATGCCTTTTTTTAATAACACATAGCACAATGAATTAATAACTCCTCTTCTGAATTACAGACATGCAAGATCAGATGAGAACACTTCCTTTGCTCAGTGTCAAAGCCATTAATTTTCAAAAGCGCTGGAAGGGGTAGTTCATTTGCAGAAAATGGCTGTTTATTTATTTACTTACCTGCTGTGCTATATCCTGCTACAATCATGAATCGGTGAGGTACATCCCAACATAATAAATTAGATCAATACATATAATACCAAATAAAAGTTATATCAACAACTAATGTAACATCAGGCTATAGCCTGGCTTAAAAAAAAATATAGTTGATTATGAGTTCTTTTTTTCAATATTAAGCAAGAGAACAAAGAATTCATTTGAAGCCCGCTTGTGTTTGGGGGAGGACTCTTGTGTCATCACACTATAAAGACACTGGTACAGATCTGTGATCTAAGATGGGGATGAGTTATTCATGTTTTGTCAGCTCTTGTACAAATATTTTGATATTACAATTAAAAAGAAGCAGTGCCAACATGCATTTGACTCAATCCAGCAGGATAGGGCCTGGAAGAAATTCACTGCTACATCCATTGGTTGATTACTCCTCTGATCATGAAACCCCATGAAAATAATACTATGCAAATTTGCTGTGATGGCACAGACCATCTTTCACTGTAATTCATGTTCTTAAAGGGGTGTAGCAAGGCTTCATAAATTGCCTTTTGTTTTTCCCACTTTCTTTTTGAGGATCACATTATCCACTATTCCTTGGTCTTCTCCTTTTTGACCTTTATTCTTCCTTCCTATATTTGTTTGGCAAGTCAGTCATCATTCAATGATCAGGATACTTCTTTTATACTGATCATTCATATTTGTACTCAATCTGCATCCATTCGTTCTTGACCCATTTTCACTGCATTCAACTTTTAGGCTTCTCCAGACATTTCCAACTCTCAATTCCATATAACAAATAGGGTAGAAACACACCCTTATACAGCCATTTACTTTCCTTCAGTATTATCTTAAAAATTCTCCATCTTTCCCCCCATATTTATACCAAGGTATCCAAATGTATCTAAAGCATTAGGGATCCAAGCCATTGGTATCTGGTTGGCTTCTGTAAAGGCAAATGGGCACTTGGTCTGATCAGAATGGATCTTGTTTTAAGAATGTTAGGAATATAGCATCATAGTGTAACAAATCCTAAATAATAAACGGTGTCAAGGAGTCTTACAGAGCACAGTTGAATAAATTGGGGATGATGCAGACATGTAATTCTTAAATTAATGGTATTCAGCAGAACATTCAAGTTTTATGTACAGTGGGGCAAAAAAGTATTTAGTCAGCCACCAATTGTGCAAGTTCTCCCACTTAAAAAGATGAGAGAGGCCTGTAATTTTCATCATAGGTATACCTCA